TAGTTCGTTATCGACTTGGAAAAGTGTTTCGGGTTAACGCGTTAGAAGTTTTAAAATGATTGCAAAGAACCATTAACCTGCAATTTAGGGACCATAAAAGTGACATATGTTCAAATATTCTAACTCATTCTCTTTTCTCAGCAACCTTATACTAGAAAGCATCTATTTTGCTGCATTTGTCAAAGTCAGAAACGCAGGCTTTACACATAATTCATAACCAAAGACTTCATTCCAATTGTTAAATTCCTTACAAAAGCATTGAATGTTTTTGGACTTTCGGAGGTTTCATCCAATGGTTGTCTCAGGGAAGCTACACTAACGTATTTTTGTTCAGAAACGATGTGAAGCGAACGTAAACCTTCTGAGAAGATCTGTTAGTGTATTAAAGAGTTTAAAAACATCTGGTTACTTAGCAAATTCTCGGCCTGTACTCATAGTACCCAGGCAATTTTTTTCAGAGCAAACACAAAATTTCACGGGAAAAGTTTTCCGCAGGTAATGATGCTTTCCCGCGTCTTCTAGAACCTTCAAAGGAACTGTAAAAAAAAAACAAAAATGTTTTGTGAAAAATTTGTAGTTGGTTTACTTCTTAAGGACATGTAACACACACAAGGCATAAGGCATTTCCCATAGAACGCCTTATTTTGGAAAGTTATAAATCTATAATTCTAGGGTAAGGTGGTGCATTTAACGAGGCGCCCCCGCTCCCCTCACCAGGATGATTTCACTTGTTTTATTTTTCAATTATCAATTTGATACTTCTATTCATCTATTCATAAAAATGATAAAGTAATGGGAGGTATCTATGTTCACAATGGCCAAATTCGATGATTTTCACCTTTTTCTATGAAAAAAAACGGTTTTCCATCTAGTATTATTGAACTGTTTAGTGCATACTGACGCTGATCATGGAATTCTCAAAAATGCATTTCCGACATTCATTACTTTCATTTATTTTTATTGCTCGCCACGCAAAAAAAATAGCAGTATTCTGTGACCTACTGTGGCTGGTGATGAAAAGTGGCTAATCCCAATCGCAAAAAGCCATTGGTTTAGCCTGGGAGAAACATCCACATCGACACCGAAGAGGAATACTAATGGCCATAAAGCTTTGCTGCGCATATGGTGAGCAATTGAATTGATATTTCTGCAATTGACATAATTGAAATCACCATTAAGCTTGATCCTGTCCGCATTGCGTTGGACGCCATTGTAATGCTGCGACCAACGTTTATTGAACATTAAAGTAGTAACTTGTACTAATCTATACTGGGCGGGGGAAGCAAGGTGTAGTTTATTACCAGTTGCTAACACCGAATGAAACTGTTACTATGGAAGTCTGCCGTCATCGATTGAACAAATGGAACAGTGTATTGTTGCAAAAAACACCAGCAATAGCGGTTAACAGACGCAAAATCACAACAACGCTCGGCCACACATTGCAAGAGTTGTCAAGGATGCTTCAGTAGGAAGATCTTCCGCAACAAGTGTACTCATCATAAACAATGGCTTCTGATTACCGCTTGTTCAGATTGATGCACCATGATTGGCTGACAAGCGGTTTTGCAACGCTGAAGGAGTGCCCAAATAGATCGGTGTTTGGATCGCTGACAAACCAATATCGTTCATACGATACGTACGCCATGTTGCCAGAAAGATAGAAAATGACGGAAAAAATGGCCAAAATACATGCAGGCACCTAATGTTAATATTAACATATCGTAAATCCGATATTTAAGATTACGAAATTCCGAAGGTCCTCACAGCAAAATAAATCAATAAACAATTTACATACATAGATGTCGTCAGCCAGATTAAACTCAGTACTTATTTATACTAGATGCTTCCTTCTTCCGCACTTTGTCCGGTAATGAATACAACCATGAGCAATAAGGAAAAACGGCCTCGCGGTCTAGAAAGGGATCCAAAAAATACAGTATGCCTTAGAAGAATACATCGGTCCGGTAAAGCATGATATTTCGTTGGCCAGAGACTAGAATTTGAATGAATATTTCAGTTCGTAAGAAAATGATACCCATTATTATGCCCAAAAAGTACGACCAATACATAAGTTAAATTGTGCGGGTATATCGAATATCAGAAATATCTTTTATTGGCGATTCTATCACAATCTAGAATATCTTAAACTACGCTAAGATATGGCCAATACCTAGTTACACTTAAAACTACCTATGAGACCAAAATGAGGCACAACTCGCGCTCACGGCCTCCAACAAAGTATCGTCGAAAATCACACTGTCTTAAGTTAAAAAATTGCATTGCCACATTGCTTGGAAAAGCCACGCATATATTAACACTGTTGCTTATGTTGCTTCTTCGAAGGAAGATTGACTATAGGCCGATAATTTATGACAATAGCTACAAATCTAATATCAACATCCCAAAATCGGTCTGTAACTAAGCCCTTAGAACAAGTAGCTATATTTTTCGCAACGGCGTCCGTCAACCATATCATAGCTGAGACTGGTCTCCCAGCGTTAGAAAATAGACTTTGTGAATTAAGAACTAAATTCCTTCCCAAGCTTCTTTACTTAAAAACATCTATTCCAAATGCTGAAAAAACACAAATGCTGCAATTTGACGGTTAACGTCTCTTATATGCAGACGGCTCTAAATCTTATGGTCAGCCAGATGTCAGTGCCATGAAATATGCTTCAGGACAGATTCTTCTGAACCAAATACTTCCTCAACTTGGAGCCGGAGCACCATCAAAAATCATCGCAACATGCGTGAATCAAACATGAGCGATAAAATTAAAATGTGTTGGGTAGCAAGTCCTATCGGTTTATTGGGAAATGAACAAGCTGATCGAGCGGTGAAGTGTGCTGCTTCTGCACCTCTAATCATTAACGATATAATAAAATAGTTGAACCTTGAAAGAAGCGTCAAAGAGGAAATTATGGAAGCAAATCCACAATACGTTCATCAACAATACTTTTGTTGTAACCCTCAATTAGTTCCATCATTAAATTCATCAAATGTTCACAAAATCAAGATCAAATCATTTTCGAGAATTCACTTAGGCCATGAAATTGCAACGCACCAACAGATCTTAAAGAAGTCTTCTTCTCCAATCTGCGATTGTGAGCAAATTATCACGATAAAGCACATTCTAACCAATCCTATTGATGTGCTGAAATCTGCTACAGAACGTTATGTCAACTCAATATATTACTTTATCAAAACTAATAGGCTCAATATCTAATTTTCTTTGCTATAATAGATCTGATAGCTTAGCCTTAGCCTATGTTGCTAGTACTCAATTCATTCGTTTCAGTCCACGAATTTACTCCGTTAGGCTAAATAACTGCACTAATAATAATAATAATAATAATAATACAATCTGGATAAACAGTAACCTCATCTTACGTTATTTCAGGACTTTGTAACAAAGCTCTATTTGCTTACTTAAAATTTAAAAATCTTCGATAGAGCTTGTCAATTTTTGCAGTTCTTGCGATAGTAATAGATGGAATAGTTGAAAGAATTAAAGCAGCAATTACGTTAACAGCGAACGACTGACGTAGCCGGCTAGGAGCAAATTTAAAAAAAAAAAACCTCTATTGACAGTTTTCTCTGATTTAAAAGTATTTTTCTTGTTCTTTTTCTTCTGCCTCTAAAAATTCAGCAAATTAATATTTGACGTTTCACTGTGCTAAATACAAAATATTGTTCGTTTAAATCTCCATAAGGTTAGCATTTTTTAAAAAAATTGTTTTTGGCACATCATTAAATTGTATCCAAATGATAAATATTGCTGCACAAATATTAAATTTAAAATAAAAAAATGCCACCCAAAATTTTTGACCTAAATTAATTTGAGGTGTTCTTTTTCCTCAGCTACCAGATTATTATCTGCGAAGATAGCCAGTGTAAATGTTTCTTACAAGATCTTGTGTTAAGTTTACTTAAAAACATGATAGCGAGAAGTCAATGCGTAAACGAGATCACTTTAAATTGAACGCGTGAATATCAAATAAAGCACAGTCGACAATTTATGTTACCAGTAGGACGTTGTTGTACCAAAGTAAAAGAACCACCACGTTCAAAAGAAAAATAACTTGTTGCGATCGCTCAAGTAATTGTGGAACTTGATCAACAAATCTTTTAATCTTGACTTAGTAATTTGGCTTAATCATATATTTCT